TGAATCGATTTCACTTTATTCTGAAATCTATTTGAATTGGGAAAATCTATTTTTTTAAACCAACCCGAGTTTGGAACCACGTGAAAACCAGCGGCCGACTGGTTGAGAATGAAATGATGATGCTGCACCTTCAAAATAAAAGTTTCTTTGTGAAACGTGTCGGTGGCAGCAGTAAGACAACTTTTACTTTGAAGGCCAACGTCCAGTTTATGTTTGCGCTGCACTTCCACAGTTTCAGTGAGTTGCGAGTATTTGCAGACAAACTGGTGAATTTCATGCAGGCTGTGGTGGAGAAATCACAGGCAGGACGTTGGCGCAGAACCGTGTCCGCACTGTGTTTGACGGCCGGCTGGTGTCGTGTGACCACGTTTACCATCTTCTGTACGGCTCAGGAGAGAAAAGGAAACCTACAGCAATGATTGAGGATTTAAAGGGTTAATGAACTCAGGTTAGGTGCCTAGAGAGCTGTGGTTAGGTCAGAGGTCGGCTGTAGCTCCCACAGGCTGTGTGGATGTGATTTTGTTTCCCTCATATAGTTTTAAAAACATTGGTAAACTGAATGTAAAATAATTCACTACCTTCTTATTACAATGATCACACACTGTCCTGACAGATGAGCAGCATCAGCAGAATTCAGCTTTCTGATTAAACTTATCGAGTTAAAGTAAAAATCTCTCATTTTAAAAGCAGCCGGTCCCATAAAAAGCTGTTTTCTGCAAACATCTTCGTCTACGGTGGAATATCCCGGCTGAAAATGTGGAAAATTTGGTTGCAGACGAGTCACAGGATTTACATTTGGGTAATGCATTAGCCTCATTCCCAGAGGTTTCTTTTCATAATGTGGAGGCTGAGCTGCAGCCTGCATGTGAACTGTGCTAATCAAAAACACATCTGACCCTCTCTCTCTCCTCTGACATCTGCTCATTTTTAATCCAGCACTTGTATGTAACTCGTGCCCTCAGACACCGGCGCGTCATTAAGCTGATCGTGAAACGATATCGGGCCGCGGAGAGCAGATGGAAAATATCGTTAACGTTTGCTCCTGAATGCTCGTTTGTTTCAGCAGCAGAGAAGAAAAAAGTCACATTAAGACTTTTTTTATCAGCACGAGGAGACGCCGTCTGAAGGTCAGCCTGCTCGCAGTGTTTGGATTAAAAAGAGAAGGAGGCAGCGTTCCTGCGACAAGGTTACTAATGGATGTTGTTGAAGCATTCCCAGATTACACGCGGGAACGTTCACTCAGGAATTCTTCTCCGCAGAGACACTGATGGAGACCAAAGATGGAGATTAAAGGGCAATTATTAGAATATTTAATGAAGCCAATTTTACCTTCATACTTCAAATATCTGCAGTTACAGGCCCTCAACGTAGAAGATGGTGAGGCAAAAGTTTTGTTTTTAATTCACATTTTCCAGCGATTCAGGATGTCTGCCCCTGATTTTCAAATTAAAGCTCCTCCAGGAGCGGGACGATGGATGGAAGTCGACTATATCAGAAAGTTACAGCAGAGATTTCCATCACATCTGCGACTCAGCCGTTGCTTTCCTATCCTCAGTTGTGACCACGAGATCATGGCCGAAAGAACGAAATTGTGGATGTAAACGGTGGAAATGAGGTTTTCTTTGACGCGTCGCTGGGCGCCATAAGCTGGCGTCCACTTCCCGGGAGATGCAACTACACGTCGGGTTGACGCCGTCTGCAGCTGTTGCGACTGTTCTGTTCAGTGCCATCGATTCTTCCTGCGCGCTTCCAGCTTTTTTCCACAGCAGTGTTTGAATTTATCCTTGAGAGCATAACGATCATCCCCTCAGTGTGAGGATTCAACGAGATGCATTTGATACGGGACGAGAGGGAACATACGAAGACGTGGAAAAGCGTCAGGGACGTAACTTGGGTGGTTTACTGCAGGCTCTGCAAAGACTCCCTGCTGGAGTCTAAGTCACATCGACATGAGCCACTCGAGCTGGTTCGGGTATCTGACTGGGATGTGTCGTGGTCACGTTCTAGGGGAGCTATTCCAGGTGAACGACCCCGGACTCAATGGAGAGATTAGATCTCCTGTTCGGGTTGGAAATGACTCACATGAGCGAGTGTGAGGGAAATATTGATCCAAACATTGATATCAATCCAGAGGGAATCAGGGCCAGAAGATGAGTCTGGTTTTAAAATGTTGGTAAATTTTTCTGAGCAGTCGCCTGTCACACAAAGTTTACCCAGAATGCACTTTTTACATTTTCCCTTTGGTGAATTGTCAGAAACAAGCTTCTGTTTCTCTGCTGCTGTTTATTTGAAGCGTGACGCTGATCCTCAGACTTTGACTTGGATCAAAGTTGATTTGCAGTTTTTAGCTGAGCTTAAATGTGTTTTTAAACCTGACGTATACACGTGGATATCTCCTGTCAAGTCATCAGGATTCAAACGTGAGGGAAAGTTGATACATAACGCTACTTTCACAGACAAGGCCACCGAGGAAAAACAGATAAAACAATAAATCAGACACACGGACGCCACAAGGTCGGACCCATAGTTACCCAAAGGCTTCGGCACTCCCATTTAGACCAGCTCCAAACCTCTGAGTCCAAAACAAAGAATAACTGAGGAAAACTCATCCCAGAGTTTGTGAGCCACCACCTCGAGGGCCCGAAGTCCTCGTGTTTTAAAACCGAAGGGATCGATTAGACGAGTGAGTCAATAAAAGCTCTGAGATATCCTCTGGTATACTCTTCACCCCCTGAAAGCCTACCAGGAGGAACCCTTTGTGAGCTGAGCAGCTTCTGACATATTTCAGGCTGCTAACAGAACCAAACGACTGGGTTTGCACCAGGCAGCTACCCTTGGAAAAACCTGGAAACTATTCTAATGGTCATCAAACCACGACTTCGTGGATATATATACACTGAGGGGTCAAAACTCGTCTTTATGGGGAAAGAGCTGAAGGTTAAAACTGACTCTGAAGCCAGCAGGAAGCCAATGAAGAGGCTTTGAAACAGGAAAGATACGAGATCGGAAGCTGACGCGTAAAAGAGGAACAGCAACAGTCCAAACAAGACAAGAAGAACGCATGAACTGTTTGCACCAATTCCACCAATTTCATGTATATATATGAATTTATACGTCACATGTCTATAAGCAAGCACTTGGTTTGTAGCTAAGGTCAAATGTTCCTGTTAGAAGCTGGTGGAGAACAAAAACTGGCATTTTTTGTTCTCCACAGTCTGGTGGGAGCCGGACACAGAGATGAAGCACATTAAAATGAGCTACGGTAGCTGATAAAGACCAAAAACAGATGAGAAAGTAAAAGCTGGAGTTGAGAGCAGGAATGCAAGTTTAAATCCATAAATAAGAACACGGCTGTCACAGCCTTAAGCATCATCAGTAGCTTCAGGCCATGGCGGCGCTGTGGGGATACACCTGCACTTCACACAAACAAACTGACAGGGAGGCGACTCACCTCTCCGTGCTCCCTGGTCCGGCCCTTCGGCGTGTCCTCAGGCAGGAAGTAGAGTCTGGCGCTGGCCAGCAGGTGGCGCCGGGTCTGGTCCTCCCACAGTAAGGTCACCTGATGCACATGAACGACGTTTATTTTTCAATCGTTCTGACTGATTTATTACATTTACAGCCTCCACACAGAAGCCTAAAACCACGACTGCCTTCGAGCCGAGTCGCTGATACCGAGGCCCTAAACGTTAAACAGTCTGTCCACCATCAGCTTTATCGATTATCACAGCAGGGCCTTTGAATTTGAGCCTTTCACACCTCGACTGTGCTCCTGCGGGAACGCTTTGTCCCGGCACAGGCGGCAGACAACATTACGCGAGCATGCACGGAGCTGAAGCGCTTCACGGCGTGCAGAGTCACGCAGGGGGAGGAGCACACAAACCCATGAAGCCCCCCAACATGAGTTCAAGTGATTTTTTTTTTTTGGTTTCAGAAAAACAGAAAACATTTATTTAAGACCTGAACATGAATAAAACTGCACACAGCCTTTTCTAGGAAAGCGAAACCAAAAATCTTCACATTTTACGAACGACTTCATCACACTGAGACGATCCTGGATCGACCCTGCAGCCTCCCTGTGGCCTGGTCCCATTCCCCCTCCCAGCATGCTGCTGGTGTGCAGCCAGCTCTGGGTTTGTGTCCCTGCAGAAGCTGCTCTCGTTTCAACAGGTTTCAGATTTACTGAGTTTTTGCTGAAATTATATAACATCCTCACACTTTTATTAACGAGCAATAATAAAATAAACAGTCTGATAATTTGCTTTGTCACATGTGGTGCTCAAAGTAAAGCTCTTCTCTGATACTTCTATTAGAAGCTGGCGGAGACCAAAAACAGAGGAGACGCTGAAACTGGGCGAAGGTTCACCATGAAAACCAGAAGACAGATTAAAGGTTTATTTTCTTTTAAGGTGTCGATTTGAAACCTGAGGCTTAAACCACAGAGAAAAATGCTAATGAGCATGTGCAGAAAACCTTTGACTATGCATCTCTCCTGACCATCGAAGCTGATTGGTTTAATGTGCCAACTTCACTTTGGATTAAGAGCAACAGAATGAGAAGTAAGCAGCAAGTTCTCCATTTAAAGCTCTGAGCTCCACTGTTCACGAGGGGCTGCCAATCATAAGTGACCTGGCTCAAAGGGGGAGGAGCTCAAACGGCTTGTTTCACACTGGCAGCTCGAGTGACCGATACGGCCTCAGTATGTAAAAAGCCTTCGTTAGCTTCCATCAATACCATCAGCCTAAATACGAAGTAATCTCATTACACGAGTCCTCACTGGCTCAGCCCACGACCTAAATTGACTAAATTTAGCGTCGCCGTGGGACTCAATAAAACATGATATTAGTCTTGATTAGCTCACGTAAGGCAGGAAGCAGGATGGCGACACATTTAAGGCTCGATCTGCAGCGTTGGCGCGGTTTACTCATCGTGGTCGGCCCGACTCAGTGATGTCACACACATGCATTATGGGAAGTGTAGGACCTCAGAGGTAAAGCTCATCTACAGAAGGTTTTCAGTTCACATTATTAGGGCGCGGCCACCTGGCTGACGTCCTCATCTCAAACTAACATTGAGGAGCTGCAACATCCTTCTCTGTGCTCACGTCACCGACGCTCAAAACACCAAAAAAGTCAAACTTTTCTTGTTTTTGTTCCAAAGCGAGTTTTAAAAATTTCTCCTCTGAGCTCAACACAGAAACAGCTAATATATCCCTGTTTCTGATTGGCTGTCTGTGGAGCAACAGCGGGACAGCCGAGTTTTCCCACAGCTTCATATCTGCCGTCCTTACATGAAGGCTTAGTGGCTGCGATGCTAAATGCTAACATTCATATTTATATAAACTGGCAGGTGCCTCAGAGACCCGTTCTGCTCGGGTCCGGCTCAGTTTTAGCTCCTTCCCTTGTTTAGAGTCTTCCTCCGCCCCACGTAACCGCCTCTCAACGTCCACCCTCAGTACACGGTCCAGTTTCCCTGCAGAAACCCAAACGGCGAGCTCAGGAGACATTTTCAGTCTCGGTGAAGCTTTCTCACCTCGGCGATGCACACAGGATCCTGCGGTCCACAGCGGATGAAGTAAAACTCGCCGAGTTTCCACACCTGGACGGGCCCGTCGGGCTGAGCTCGGCTGCTAACCGACTTGTAAAAGGCGTAACTGCCTCGCTGGCAGGAGGGAGCACCCAACCACTGAGAGAGACAGACAACAGAGTTACAGCCTGAACCTCACCCCACAGGAGAGTTATATCACAGTCATTCATGTAAACACAACAATCGAATAACAGTCAAAGAATAAGAGTAAAATGTGTTTATGAAAACAATTTATTGACATGAAAGAAAGAAGGATGAGAAAACATGACGACGAACGACACGGGTTCACTGTTTCACATTTATCAGCCCATCAAAATTCAAACTGAAAATCTTTTGTGTGAAGTTGATCCCGTCCTCTCAGGGACACTTCCTGTAACATCACACTGAAGTGTTTTAACAAAGAAGCCATTTAAATGCATCACAGGCTGCTTCATGAAACCAAACAGATCTGAGAAAACTTTAAAATCAGCTGACTCCTCAGAATCAGTTGATTTTATCCCTGGACATTAACGTCACTACATTTCATGAATTTCTACCTTTGCACAATAAAAAGTTTCAGAGTTACGGGACGTTGACGTGTTAGACGTTAACCACTGAAATTTCAGAGTTTAAAAACACATTTAAGCTGCAATAAAATCGTCAGCGTCACAGGATCTGTCGGAGGAAGCAGTTTAATGTCCGTCTAATAATAAGCTTTGGTGTCCTGGATGTTTGAGCTGTTCAAGTCTTGAGGCGACTTTTGTTGTGATTTGGCGCTATATAAATAAAATTGAATTGAATTGAAGTGCATTCTGGGTAAAATCTAAAGGCTCATATGACTGTGTGGTTAGAAACCAGGCTCATCTTCCTACTGTGCAGCCGTCTCTGGTGGTCCTGCAGGTTAAACTGGGTTAAACAATCACCGACACTGACGCACTGCTGCCCTCCTGATCCAAAAACCACAATCTTCAGACCTTATTCCTATTTTTTAAAATAACTTCAGACCCATAAACACATCAAGGCTCTTTGAAGTCAATAAATGCTGCAACAATTCACAGACCTAATATTAGACTTGCCCGATACCTCAGTGATGGAGTCAAAGGAAACACAGAGCTCAGAGTCTCCCCACATGTTCAAGGGTTTGTTTGAGCCATAAACTCTGCACACCTCTGACATCGACACTGATGATGGAGCCGTGCCATCTTTTCCCGCGTGGAAACTCCACTCAGAGACGACACTGTCGACACGTTAAACGCCTCTGAGTGACGGAAACGTTCAAAGTTTGATTTAAAATGCCAGAAACACGCTGACACATTAAAAACACACAAACGGCGGCTGGAGCAGCGTTTTCCTGCGGTTTTACTTTCTCTTTCACCTGCGGCAGCACGAAGGACACGTTTAGGAGGAAGCCACCATAAATCTGCTGTAGTTAATCATTCAGCCTGCTGCGTTACTCCAAACTGTTCCTGCAAGCGGCTGCAGCCATGTGACCAAGTCGTACTCAAAGCTGTGAATCTGACCGGAGCCAAAATAAAAACTCTGAGCTCTGAGTTTCTGACATCATCACCTGCAGATATGTTAAAGTTGATCTGCTCTAACACGAGAGGCTTTGCATGAGCCAGTTTGAAATAATCCTCCTTTGTCTTATACTGAGCCTTGTTCATGTACTGTCCTGAAAGAAGCCGCTTAAGCTTCTGCTTCTCTTTTAACCTTCCTGTTGTGTTCGGGTCAAATCTTACTGGCTACCCCTCATAAAAAAGGAGGGGGACGGGGCCAGAGAACTTCTAAATACTTACAAACACCTAATCTCTGCACTTCCTGTTTTGAAAACTTTGCAAACAGAAAGAACAAGGGCTCAGTTTCTAGCATTTTTTTTTAGCTCTGTATGATGTCACAGAGACAGGAAGTCCCTCATTTGGTCGTCTCAGGATCTCAGCTGTAGAGCATCAAAGTCAATTCTGTGTGATAAACTGTTTTATTCTGGAAATCTTTGTGGTAGAAGTGTCTGAGAAAATAGATCAAGTTAAATAAATAAATAAATTCTAGATTTTAGGCAAGTGTCCTTGGAATATACAGGATGTCACAGCAGCCGCCATTTTGATTTGGGGCAGGAAGCCGGCAGCTGTGGAGGATTTCAGTTACCTGAACCAACAAAACCAGCACACTGAACTTTCTGTTGGGCTTTAACTGCACACACAGTCATCCTTGTAAAGAAGCGCCGCTTTAAATCTTTACCTGACCAACCAGCACTCGTTAGCACTGGTGAAAGGACAGAAGTGCAGACTTTTCCCAGTTCAGACACATTATCAGTT